AGCTTTCTCACTCCATGGGCCAGGAAGTCCACTGTGCAGTCTCCTGCCAGCCTCTCCTGCTACCGCTCACCCTGTGTCTCCTGGGTTCAGGAGCTTCTCAACACAGGGTTCCTGGGTACAAAGGATGCACTCTCTGCTCCTGGCTGTCCTTTCTTGGTGGTGGTGGGATCCATCCATCTTGCCTCTGGGATGGCTCACATCAAGCCCAGTGGTATGGCAAAAACTGACTAGTACCTTTGGTGGGCCACAGTTACCCTGTCTGCACAGTCCTGCCCATTCACCTGGGTGGGAGTTACAAAGCCATGGCGAGAAAGCCCACATAAAAACGATCCATTGCACTGCACCACCAGATATTTAAAAAAACCCACCTTGGTATTCCTCAGCCTCCTTGCCCTTATGTGTATTTCTGTATAGACATTCATCACTATCGGCGGTACTATATATTTACTTGTGTATGTGTGTGTGTGTGTGTGTGTGTGTGTGTAGGTATATACGTATGTGGCTATATAAGGAGCTGTGGTGGCGCAGTGGGTAAGTGCTTGGCTGCTACTTGAAAGGTCTGCAGTTTGAACCCACTAGCCACTCCAGGAGAGAAAGATGTGACAGTCTGCCTCCGTAAAGATTTCAGCCTAGGAAACCCTATGGAGCAATTCTACTCTATCCTATAAGGTTGCTATGAGTCTGAATCGACAGCAATGGGGTTTTTCTGTTTTTTGTTTTACTTAGCACTTACTATTTAGCACTGCCCTAAGGTGCTGCCTTTACAAATATTAGCCCGTCTCTGAATGAATGGGCAGCCTTGCCTTTCCTTGATGCACACATTTATCTCTTCCGTTCTACTTCTTTTCTTTGAAGTAATCATTGTTTTGAGCAGCTGGAATCGTACCTCTTGACCTAATGTTTCTATCTTTCTTCTGTTCATAGCTTCTTGTTTTGTTTATGTAACGATTATCTTCCTTCCATCAGGATTCTGTCTCCCTGAGGTCATTCGATGGAATAGTTCTAGTTCTCTTTATTTTCTTGCTCCTGGAACGGCCAAATTTTGTACATAATGTGCTTTTGAAAATATATGAGGAGGTCAGATGTATGGAAGTAGGGCCCTATATTTAGAGTTGGTAGCTATCTTAGCCAATGAATAAATCATTGCTCAACAATCAAAGCCCGTGGAAGTAGCAGTCAAGAAATCAAATAACATATTGCATTGGACAAATCAGCTGCAAGATTTCTTTAAAAATTTAAAAAGCAAAAATGTCACTTTGTTGACTAAGGTGCACCTGACCCAAGCCATAGTCTTTTCAGTCACCTCACATGCCTGTGAAAGCTGGACAATGAAAAAAGAGGACAGAAGAAGAATTGAGGCATTCAGATTGTGGTGTTGACAAGGAATATTGAATATACTGTGAGCTGCTAGAAGAATGAATAAATCAATCTTAGAAGAAATACAACCAGAATGCTCCTTAGAAGTGAGTATGCCAGACTTTGTTTGCTTACTCTGGACACATCAGGAAAGATCAACTGCTAGAAAAGACCATCATGGTTGGTAAAGTAGAGGGTCAGCGAACACTAGGGAAACCCTCAGTGAGATGGATTGACACAGTAGCCACAACAATGGACTCAAACATACCAATGATCATGAAGGTGGCGCAGTACCGGGCAACGTTTCCTTCTGCTCTACATAAGGTTGCCATGAGTTAGTGCTGACCTGACAGCAGCTAACAGCCAAGTTTTCAAGTGACTGTTTGCTGATGTCCTGCTTGGTGCCACCTCTGAGCTCTTTACATGACTCATGCATTGTCTTGCAGTTCCCAGTGCATTAAAAAAGACAATAAAATGTTAACATAGGACTTAAATGTTCAGTCATTTTTTTTTTTTTTTTTAGTATCTAAATGTTACAGAGTATGCACATGAATATTTCCAAAAACACAGAACGAATGTTAAAAGCAGACACCAATTTAAATGTTCTAAATTTTTAGGATAAATTATCTATCCTCAAATTCTGGAATTCTCTGCGGAAAAAGTTGTTTTCATGTTGGGAAGGACTTTCTGATGGTGAATTTGCAGGGGGTGGGGGTGAGCAAGAGATAGTGGTGCTGGCTTTGATGCTTCTCTTCCTTCCTTGAAGAAAATTTTTGAGAGGAAGTTGTGTTGTGTTGTGCCGGTTCTGTTGCAGGAGCTTTGAGCAGGCAGAGTGAGGCGAGATCCTACAGGTTTGCTCTGGGAGCCGGACAGATGATCCAGGGCACTTCTTTGGCCTCCTACGTGGGCCAGAAGTTCAACTGGCCAGACAAGTCCTGTTTCTGCCCCACCCTCACAGTCACTTTATGTGGAAGACCCAAAGACCCTGCCCAGTTGTGATGTTTCCAGAAAACGTGCCTGAATTGGCATCGTAGGGATCTTGCCACCTGGGGAGGGGCAGAAAGTTTCAGCTGTTTAACTTCTGGCATTTTCCAAGTTGCCCCAAGGCTACTTTTAGGCTTGGCTTAAGTCTCTCTTTTTTAACTTCCGATGTGTTTACGACAAAATGAAGGGCCTAAAACACAGAATTACTGTATGACCCAGTAATTCCACTCTTGGTTATATATCCAAGAGAAATGAAAACAGATGTCCTCTTAGATGGATGATTATAGCAGCATCATTTGTAATAGTCAAAAGGTGGAAACAACCCAAATGTCCATCAACGGATGAATGGATAAACAAATGGCATAAACAGTAAAGGAGCCCTGGTGGCTCAGTGCTTAAGAGCTCCGCTGCTAACCAGAAAGGTCAGTAGTTTGAATCTACCAGCCATTCCTTGGGAACCCTATGGGGCCTTCTCCTGTGTCCTGTAGGGTTGCCATGAGTCGGAATCAACTTGACACAACGGATTTGGTTTGTTTGTTTTGGTATATACAGTAAAATCTGCAAAAGCTGGAAACTGTGTAAGGCAGAAACCTGTCAAAGAAGGAAAACTAAAATGTTTTCCACTAAAACAAGCTATAGAAAAGTGGTAAGATTGCACCCTGTCAAATGCAGAACACTTGCAAGACCCGGAAGAACAAGGCAGCCCCGTTGCATACCGGCTCTCCCAGGTTTCACTGTATGTACAGTGGAATCTTATTCAGCTGTAAAAAGGAATGAAGTACTGATACATTCTGCAACATGGATGAATCTCAAAAACATGCTAAGTGAAAGGAGCCAGACACAGAAGGTCACATACTGTCTGGTTCTTTTTATACGGAATAGCCAGAATAGGCAAATGCGTGGAAACAGAAAGCAGATTAGTGGTTGCAGGGTTGGTGGAAGGGAGAATGGGGAGTGATTACTTCACAGGTATTCTTCTTGGGTGATGAAATGTTCTGGAATTCGATAGAGGTGGTAGTTGCACAATGTTGTGAGTGCACTAAATGCCACACTAAATGCACACTTTAAGATGCTTAATTGTATGTTATGTGAATTTCACCGCAATTTAAAAAATTTAAGAAAGCTCTGTGTCTGAGTGTTTCTGCACTCCTTTCCTTTCATACTGGGTCACCCTGGACCAGGCACACCGCCCTGACTCCCTCAAGACCCCAAGCCTCTGCCCTGCAGGGGCACACGTGGTGCAGTTGGCCACGTTGGAGCGAGGTGGCAGTTCTCCTCGCCGATGTCTGAGCTCAGGAAGCAGCTGGGAGATGGTTGATCCTCAGAGAGAAGGGTGGGTCCCTGCCCCGGTTTGGAGCAGTTTTTCTGGACCGATTTAACCAGCCCTTGTGGTTCATGTGGCAGAAATGCTACTGCTGAAGTTTTAATTTTTCTCCAGGGAAAAAACACATGGCCATTTTTAATGGCTTGGGAAAACCATTGGGTTTGTACTTTTGCTTTTCTTACTGTGTCATTCTCTTTCGCAATAACATATTACTTGTTGCCGTGTAGGCAACTGGCAGATAATTTAAAAATAGAATCACTAATCAAAAATTGCTGCAAATATTATTCCAGAAAGTTGATTTGTGTATGTGCATGTGAAGACTACATTTTTCATGTTATTTAGATCTTTGCTTTTTACATCTTGGTGTTTTTATTTTAATTTTAATTTTAGGGATGATTGTGATACAAGTATAATAACTACCAATTACTAATTGAGTAAGTATGCAGTTGTGCTTGTTAGCCGCCATTGAGTTATTTGTTATTACAGGAGTTTGTATGCAAAGCTAGCCAAACTTTGTGCACCCAACAGGAAGAGCTTAACTTGAAATGGTTAATCCTAGACCCAGTCAATCGTGACAAAAAAGCACTGAGTATATCTTACTAATATATGTTAAATTCACTAATCAAAATTCAGTAATCAGTTCTTCAAAATCAGAGTCGTTTCATATACATGCTACAATGTGTATGCAGCACTCACAGCTGGATTTGGAATTTTAAGGAAAACAGGCTGTCAAGCAAACAAGGAAACTGATATTGTTTTAAATCTAAGAGCAGAATTGTTTTGCCAGAAGATCACATGAATGCTCTGTACCTCCGTTGAGAGGCAGTATTGTCCAAGAATATTTTCCAAACATTCCTGACGTGTTCCAGTCTTTGAACAGATATACTATATGGCAAGTTTATGTAATACTTACTTAAACCAAAGAACTTTGTTATGAAGCTTTGAACTGCAGCCTGTCATCCAATATGAAACATTACATAGTGAAACCAAATCACTGTCTAAAAACTGGAGCCCATTTCTTAACTGTTACTGTTTTATATCAATCAGAGAAATATACAGACAAGTGAGCTTAAATTTATAGTTTCTGTGATTTCCAGGGGGTGGTTAGTACTTGAACTCATGTCTTTTAGGAACACCTAATAGCAATTATCCAAAGAATTCATTTCTTTAAAAAATATATCTAAGCAGCATAAAGAAAATGAAAAAGCTCTTTGTGCTATATTTTTACTGGCTAATTTGGGATCTTTTTGCTGAAATTGTATTGTCAGTTTGGGGAACCACTAGGAAAACTGTTGACTGCTGATAACTAAGCTACTGAATTCATTTCCTCCTTCAGGTATTCACTTACAAGCAAAGCACAATTACACACCAGAAAGTGACCACGATGCACCCCACGAATGAAGAGGGCGTAGACGACATGGCGACCTTGACGGAGCTCCATGGAGGCTCCATCATGTATAACTTATTCCAGCGATATCAGAGGAATCAAATATATGTAAGTCTCCCACTCTTAATTCCTTGGAAAAACCAGCAAGTTTGAGTGAATGTTTATTTTCATTTCCAAAGATGATTTCCTGTCTTTTGAAAACCTCTGTTTCCAGGGAGCGGCTGGTGGGTTCGAATTGCCGACCTTTTGGTTAGCAGCCAGACTCTTAACCACTGTGCTACCAAGGCTCCTTGAAAACCTCTAGTAAAGTTAAAACTATGCTTTCAGATGTCTTGTCAAATTAGAAACTTGATTCAATAAAGCATGTTCTTGTAATGTTTTATTGCCTTGATTTTATGAGAGGGGATTGACTTCACATGGAAGGGTCTTCTGTACATTGACGTAATTTGACCTCTTTCGTCTCGTAAATGCATTCTCTTGTATTCTGTTGGTAAGTGTTCTGTTACATAAAGAAGTCCTGTGGAGTTGTTTGACTTCCTCAAGTGTTGATTTGCAGACAAGCGTACCTGGCCTCGAAGTGGTGTTAAGCGCTCAGCTGCTGATCGAGAGGTCAGCGGTTCGAACCCACCAGCTGCTCCGTGGAGAAAGATGTGGCAATCTGCTTCCATAAAGATTACAGCCTTGGAAACCCTATAGGGCAGTTCTGCTCTGTCCTACAGGGTCGCTACGAGTCAGAATCCACTTGACAGCAACGGATTTTTTGTTTGTTTGTTTTGGTACCTGAACTTGAACTTCTTTCTCTTTTTCTTGATTTTTCCCTTTTTAATGAATTCTCTTCTTATGGCCCTGGAGTTCATGCTAGAGGAGTAATTGGTTGCAAAGGAGCTGTCTTTTTGATCTGTGGGATTCCCGTTTGCTATTTTGAATCAAGTAGAGAAATGTCCATAAAAAGCAGTTGTGAACAGTTTTTCTCTCAGCTTTTACTTGGGTCCGTTTTGTAAAATAATATTTAAACATCAGTTTTATAATAACTTTTTAACATTAAAACCAGTTGCCGTTGATTCCAGCTCATGGCGACCCTATGTGTGTAAGAGTAGAACTGTGTTCCATAGGGTTTTCAGTGGCCAATTTTTTGAAGTAGATCGCCAGGCCTTTCTTCCAAGGTGCCTCTGGGTAGACTTGAACCTCCACCCTTTTAGTTAAGAGCCAAGCATGTGAACTGTTTGCACTGCCCACAACTCTTTGTAACATTAAAATACGGATGTTACATTATCTGGTAAGACTGAATGGCCTGTAGATTTTATCTGCCTGTTTGCAAGTCTTTTCAGTAAACTGGAGGCAACCGCTTATACGTCTTTTCTTGTCAAGTTCAAATTTTATAGTTTTTAAAAAAACCCAGAATTTACTAACTTTTGTTAATTAGCAATTATATTTAACTTTGCCAATATATTTGTGATTATGAGTAATAATCACAACAACCTGTAAAATAATTAGTTAATTCTCACTGAAACTGAAGGTTCCAACTTACCTTCCTTAGACTCAGAGGGAAGAGTTAGGAAAGAGGAGGAATTGGATATTTTTAGGTTTGATGTTTAATTTTCCTCAGCATAAAAAAAAAAAAAAAAGATATGCTTATTTGCCTTTTCTTTTTTTTTTTTTAACACTGTGAAAGTGTTGTTTTTGCCAGATTGACCTAATATTTACCAAATGTTTTCTAACAGCCCTGTCTAGAGAAATTCAGTTGTGTGGTAGTCTTTTGACTTGCTGAGCCTGGCTTACACTCAGTCTTTGGATTAAAATGTTTTCCATATGTGCTTCTGAAAAGGTAATACTCTTAGGTGTTTACGTGAAGTGGATGTAGTCAGTGTTTTAGAGGTGCCTGCAGAACACGCTGTTATCCTTCTGTTTCCATCTGGGAAACCTCCTCATGGTGAACTACCTCCTTCCCACTGTGGCGTGCATGAGTTTTTATTAATAAGTACCCAATGCTTTCCAGTATCGATTTGTTTACATAGCAATTTCCTTGCTAGGTTTGTCAAGGACTTACTTATTTTGTCTTCTTTGAGCCAAGGACATCACCAGGCATAGTAGTAAATGTTTGTTAAACAAGTGCCATAAATACTAGAGATAGTTCATGAAGGTTTATACACTGTTAGATGTCTTTATAGGTGTATGTCTCTTGTAGGTATTTTATAACTCATAGTCTTGATCTTTAAAGAGAAGTCCTAAGTTCTTATTGTATGTTTTCAATAACCAAGAAAATGTAAGTCAGTTAGAGGGAGAAAATGATCCCAGAGGTTAAAGGTTAAAAGGCAGATTCTTTTTAAAAGTTTTTTTTCTCCCCATGATAATGATGTTAAACCTGATGTTGTTAGGTGCCCTCAAGTTGGTTCTAACTGATAGCGACCTTTGTAGAACAGAATGAAACACTGCCCAGTCGTACGCCATCCTCACAGTCTTTGCTGTACTTGAGCCCATTGTTACAGCCACTGTGTCAGTCCGTCTTATTGAGGGCCTTCCCCTTTTCCGCTGACCATCTAATTTACCAAGCATAAGAGACTGGTCTCTCTGGATAAGTTGTACAAAGTAAATGAGATGAAGTCTTGCCATCCTTGCTTTTAAGGAGCATTCTGGCTGTACTTCTTCCAAGACAGATGTGTTTGTTCTTCTGGGAATCCATGGTATATTCAATATTCTTTACCAATACCATAATTCAAAGACATCAGTTCTTCTTCAGTCTTGCTTATTCATCGTCCAGCTTTCACATGCAGATGAGGCAATTGAAAATACCATAACTTGAGTTAGGCTCACCTTAATCCTCAAAGTGACATCTTTGCTTTCTCAACACTTTAAAGAAAGAGGTCTTCTGCAGCAGAATTGCCCAATGCACCACATCGTTTGATTTCTTAACTGCTGCTTCCATGGGTGTTAATTGTGGATCCAAGTAAAATGAAATCCTCGGCAACTTCAGTCTTTCCTCCATTTATCATGTTGTTGCTTATTGATCCAGTTATGTTCTTGACAAGAAAGTGATGTGAAGTGAGACTACAGAGAGTAAATTGACTGAGAGAGTGTTATAATAATTTAAGGATTAGAGGTGAATGTTTTAGACTTGGATAGAGAGGCACTGAATATACTGTGAACTGATAGAATGATGAACAAATCAGTCTTAGAAGAAATACAACCAGAGTGCTCCTTAGAAGCAAGATGGCAAGACCTTGACTCGCTTACTTTGGACATGTCGTCAGGAAAGACCAATTGCTAGAAAAGGACATCACGGTTGGAACTGACTCAAAGGCAGCTAACAACAACAACAAGGGATGGCACGAGCAAGAGAGAAGCACAGATTTGAGCTGTATGCAGTGGGAGTAGGGGGTGGAGATTGAAGGAAGGATTAGTTCTAATGATTCCCAACGCATCCAGTCCTTGTGGCCGTGGGAACATGCCACTGGCAGTCGTGGCAGCTCCTGGAGGGAAGGAGAGGGAAGTGGGAAAGACGCATTGGTCTTGGATGCCATCTTACTGTACTCTCTGGAGCCAGGATAACTTAAATTGTTAGGTACCCAGCATCTAAACACAGTGTTGACAAGAGAAGGGGAGGTTTTGTGTCCCGAGTGGAGCCACCGCCAAGCTCGGTGGTGTGGCAGTTTGTTTTCCACAGAATGGAAAAGAAGCACATTCTCTGGGTCAGTTACACGGAGGAGACTCCTCTCTCAGCTTTTAAGGAATGGCCGCAAACCACATCACGGAGAGAGCTGCAGGGAACAGCAGAGCCCACCGCAATTATGGCGTTGTGGACGTCTCCAGAGGAAGCCAGTTCCTCTGTTCCGCCCAGTCCTTTGGTTAGATTGTTGGTCTTGCTGAACAAACACAGCAGAGATCTGAATCAAAGAAGTCCATTTGAAGAAGTGGGGCAGTGTCTAAAGATAAATGCTCATGAAAGCATACAAGTTTCTTCACAGCTAATGTATTTTTAGGTGTCTCAGAAATAGCTTTGTTTGGTGAGGTGGCATTCCAGACCAAATCTGTAAATGTTTTTGATGTTGTGGGTGGATTAATTTTGAAGCCTGCCACTCTCATGCAAGATGCTGGCAGCCACTGTTCAGCTAAAGGTCTATCGATTTTAGCACAGGTGAACTGAGTTCACCCACAAGTAAATCACGGGCTGCTTGTAGCATTGTTGTTGTTAGTTGCCATTGAGTCGATTCTGACTCATGGCAACCCCATGTGTACAGAGTAGAACTGCTCCATAGGGTTTTCAAGGCTGTGATCTTTTGGAAGCAGATCACCAGGACTTTCTTCCAAGGCACCTTTGGGTGGGCTTGAACCGCCAGCCTTCTGGCTAGTAGTCGAGCACTTGCAACATTAAAGACTAGTATACCTTGCCACCAGGGCTGGATTAGGCATGCGAGGGTCCTAAGCACTGATAATCTGTGGTACCCCCTCCTTTGCTTACTCATACATTCAAACGAGATATATGAGTTTTATATCTATATATATATATACACACACATATATATACCTCATTTACTAGCATATATCAAGTAATATCAAGCACTGTATCCCACGCAACAGCCCAAAAAAAGAAACTCCCTTGGTACATAAGTTAAAACTTTCCATGTTAGATAAATATTAATATTTCCAGTATTTTTGGACATATACTATGTTAATATTAAATTATGACCCATGTAAGTATTATATTAAATATATGCTAGATGGCGTCTGTGTGCATGCCAAATATATTTTTAAAGTTAAAGTTATAAATATTATTGTTTACAAAACTTAGCACATAACTCTGTACGTAAATGCTATATAGTTAAAAAGTAACTTGACTGAATTTATTGCAATGGTCGACTTAGGTGATTTCCCTTGCTTTTGCGTGTCATGTAGCAAGAGTTAGACTCAACAGCCCACCCCTACCTCTTGTTTATTAGAAAGAAATAGTATACGCCCAAGAGACCCACCGAGAAAAGAGTTTCAGTTGCACAGGAGGGGACCGTAGGAGACAGTTATCAACGAAGGTGTTGAAGTGGTAGGGTCCTCATAGCTTGTGCGTGGGCACCCTCGTCACCATGCATGAACTTTATTTCCGGCCAGCGCATTCTCAC